TTACTGAACGCATATTTTACCGTGATCGTATAATGTAGAAATAGAAAGAGAATAAAATATATCCTGTTAATAGGACACATAAATTAAATCATCAATAATACGATTTTAACATATTAATAATATGCAGCAACATGTAAAAGTTTTTAATGAATATTTTATTTAATTTATAGATTTTAAAAGGCATTAACAATTATTAAAATATCTGGATCAATTTATAGTAATGTTACGTATTCTTAATACTTTATTAAAAAAATGTTTAACGTATTTTCGCATACATGTGTATATGTATATGTGTACTACTTAGAGTAGAACAATACAAGCATCTGTTTAAAGATCTTTTATATGTCACTGTAGCTGTAGTTAGCGGAAAATTTGATAGAGAAGTGTATTTTCAGTTTCAAAGCATAATCATAATTAAAGTGAGATGTAATCAAAACATTTATACACTTATTAAATAATCACCTTCGTCGTATAATAGTAAAATTAAGCCAACTATATTCATAAAAACAATTTTTACCGTTTCATTTCGTTCGTATACAAATTTGCTGTTTTATAGAATTAAAAACATTCAAAATATTTATATGCTTAGGTAATTAAAGGTTGTATATATATTTACTTATAACTGGTTTGTATAACACAATATTAACTTGTCTATGTCAAATGAAATTATTCGCGGTATGTAACATTTGATATATTATAAAAATTATATGGTAAATTAGGTGGTAAAAAATTTTGCAATGTGGCTGGTACTGCGTTAAAGTATGTTGCATTTCTTTCTCGAAACACAGCATCTTGTGTACTACCAATTACATCTGATTGAAAATTCTGAATTGCTGTAGTTGGTATAGTTTGTACAACAATTGGTTGAGATGGTGATGTATGTGACACAGTTTGTATTACCTGTGAACATTTAAAACACAAAATACATTAGAAGAATCATACAGGATGTTCAATTAGATATAATGTTCGATAAAAATTAATATTAAGTACCAGTAAAAATTTTAAATTGATATTTGAAATATACATCGTACACAGAATCTCAAGATTATAAAATTCTATAAAAGCTATTGTATTATTATCTTCTGAAATACTAATAAGAAATATAAATTAACAAAATAAATAAATAAACACCTCATATGAAGTAAGGTATTTAATAAAACAATAATTTTCTACCTGGACCGTTGATGTTTCTGTATGAGATATGGTAGACAAGGGATCTTCCGAGGTATTTGACTGGATTGTTTGTGGCTGTTCTGATTGTTGTTGCTGTTGTTGTAATTGCTGTTGCTGTGATTCTGAATGCTGAGATTGTGACAAATGTTTTGTGTGGGATGTGTTAATTCCATGTCTACGTTTCATATGTTTATTATAATTTGGCCAATTTGTGAAATGATGTTGACATTCTAGGCAACTATATGGACGTTCACCGGTATGTTGTCTTCTATGAGTCTAAAATTAGATGAAATCATGAAATATTATATCAGATTAGTTTTTTATGTAAAATATAAATCAAAATATTCAATTAACTTACAGTCAGTATGCCTTTGAAGCGAAAACATTTACCACAAAATTCACATGTAAATGGCATTGCTCCAGTATGTATTCTATGATGCTCTCTTAATGTACCTTTTTCTCTAAACGTTCTTCCACACACAGCACATTGATGTGGCTTAGCACCAGTGTGAACTGTTTCGTGTTTTTTTAATTGTAATGGAGTTTTAAAGCTACAAATTCAATATTTTCTTATATTCATATGAATGCACAAATTGTACTTTCTTTCAAAACATAAACGTACGCTTTTGAACATTGAGTACAGCTGTAAGGTTTATCTGCTGAATGAGTTAAAAAATGAGCCTCCAAATTTCCTTTCTGAATAAAACTTTTACCACATTGATCACATGTAAAATTCCTAACACCAGAATGGATGCGCTTATGTGTCACTAAGTTTGGTTTTGTTGAAAACCTGAAAAACATTTTTTATTATCTTTATATGATTGGAAAAACATGTTTAGTAATTGAAAGATTCATAATCATGTAGATCTTTGAAATTTGATTGAATTTGAATAAAAACTGAATGGAAATATTCATGTATGAAACATACATATTTTACCTTTTGTCGCATTCATCGCATGGAAATCTATTCTTCATTGTATCTGGTAAATGGCATCGACTATGGATGTACAAAGCACTTTGCTGTCTAAATGCCTTTCCACAAGTTTGACATACATGAGGCCGTTCTTCACTATGAATTGCTTTGTGAGAATCTAATACTTTTTTATGTACAAATGATTTCCCACAATCTTCGCAACTAAGTGTATATACATATACATACATATATACATACATACATGCGTACACATGTGCACCGTATATATTATATATGAAAATGTATTGTATGTTAACAAGCTATACAAAATAATATTTAATCGAACATATTAGGTGGAAAGTTATATTTACCTGAACTTTGCCTTATTTTTATGTCGTTTGACATGAGTAAGGAAACCATAATATTTATCATAAACTTTACAGCATAACACGCACATATATTTCGCTTGTTGATTATGAACAGTTTCGTGATGTTCTTCCAATCCTTCTAAACTTGGCAATTTATCATTACAGTCTGTGCAAAGCCAAGGATACCTATCCATATTTTCTCCTCTTTTATGCCCAAATTTCAACGTGTCTGTTGTATGCGATTCAATGATCTCTAAATCTGAATCTGTACCTATATCAATAGTAGCATATTCTTAGTAATATAATTATTGAATATTTGATGCAAACTTTAGATCAACATATAAGTTGTACAGAGAGAAATTAATTATTTTTAGAAGACGTTTTTAGAATACCTACAATTCTTTGACTCTTGACAGTGTCTTTAAATATCTAACAGAAATTTGACCTTGTGCTATGCCCAAAGGCATTTCAAATGACAATTTATAATATATTCCAGATATATAACTTGTTTCATATTTTTTAACACCTTTTTCGGAAAGTAAATGTTAATTGTAACAATTTATAATGAATATGATGAATTATATGCATATATAAACATCATATCATATTTGCAATATATATTTACAATATGTCAAACTAATAATTAAAATATTAATTTTATAAGATTCAATAAAACTTGTTACATTTTAGAACATAAGATTTTTTGATAGGCATAACTTTAATTATGTATTTAATCTCTATTTGTACCTGTCATATAATTATCCGGAACCTTAATATTAGTTTTTACATTCATGTTGTGTTCTCTTTCTAAGTCAGGATTTATACATAAATTTGAATCTTCTGGTTTTTGATTCTGGTTTTTTCGTTTTAATTTCTTTCTAGTCTGTTTGGGTGACGCTTTCTTCATTTGTATTTTACATTTTTTTTCTTTTGAGCTATTTTCAGGTTCCTTGGCCTCATAGTTTTGTTGACTTTTAGTTTCTTCTGTGAAATAGTCATTTGAAACATTAGATTCTTGAATATAATTATTTGATATCTGACATTCAATAATTGTGTCTACAATTTCTTCTTCCTTTGGAAATATAACTGTTTTTTGAATATAATCTATGTTCGTTTCTAATGACTGTGGTTCAGACTTGGTATCTATGAGTAACTGCCTGAGAGATGTTTGTGCCTGGTTGGTTTTCTCGAAGAATTCATTGCACTGATTTAATAATATACAACAGTCTATACAAACGCTAAGTGGTAATCCATCGGTTATTAATACCTAAAAAAAACAATCTACTTAAATGTGACATACCTATAAAAAAATGAGATACGTAAACATAGTAAATCAACAGAAAATAGAGATCATTGACAATCTAAAACTGAGAAATTATACTTAATCAGAATGACAGACAACATTTCTGTGGATACCAGAAGTACACTATTAGAGTGAAATTCTAGAGGACGCTTAAATTTTTACCTGAATCTGCAAACACTTGGCTATTTTAGCTTCTATAGCTAATTTTTGTCCCTCGGTATCATAAATACCGATAAAATTTTCTTTGGTCTCGGCGCAGAGCCGGCAAAGTTCCGGCTCCGACATTGTTCACATATAAAATCTAAGGATATGTGTTGCGGTACAGTACATTGTCACAAGAATTGAAGATTTGATCGCATCATCTCACATTTACACTGCGATGCGTGATAAATAAAAAATTGGTTCGGACGCCAAACAAGATAGCGGACATGTTGTTTCTTTGCACAATAAAAATATAAACTGCTTTTCAGTGCACATAGAAAAAAGTCATTTAAATGTGTATCTCAGTATAAATGCATATACGATAATGACGCCGGATTCTTAGCAAACAATTAGTAATGGACTTCCCATTATGTCATATCTGAATAAAAGCACTCATTTATTTCATTATGCTTGTTTAGAAAAGTGCATACTGTTACGTCCGTGTATACACATATAATACCACTAAACACGCACACACAGTTCGAACGGCATTGGGGATTTTCAGGTGGCGGCACGAGTATAGGAACAAACTTACTAAATATTTAAGATTAATGATCTGCTACACCGGAGTGGAGTTCACGAGTGGGGGAATCCCTTCACATATAAAATTTCCTCGCGTTGTCCAGATTGCTAGTCACGTCTCGCGGGAAATTTTCGAATTTTCAATAATATTCAGAAACATATTTATATAACGCATAATCTCGTTAAAAACCGTAATTCATATTGTACATTATAAGAATATTTGTATTTTAACATTTTAACAGGTTAAATATCTTTTGCTTTAACAATAGGAAAGAATATCTTGTCGACTATTTCAGAAAAATCTTGAGAAAAATTCTTTCTTACAAGAGGAAAAAGTACAAAAAGAAATACAAAATACAACATTTTATAAATAATACAATAGATACAGTCAGAAGAAATATAATGTATAATTGGTTAGGGGAAAATCACTAAATCTACCCAGATTTTTTCATGTCGACAATTCATAAGGTGTTCATTGATTTCCATGTACTTAAATAACATCTGTATTGTTATTTCTTAATCCGTAATTAATATATCCTTAGCCCACAGTTGCTGAGAGTTAAGTATGTTACGTTGTCCGGTTGTTTGGATTACCGGTACTAGGTACATTTTAAGAGTTGCAAAAAAATGCGTGTATTATTTTTTGACATGGTAATTTTATTAAAAGCATAATCCTGTGAAAACGAGTGTTATATCAAAATATAATGCAGCACTGTATCATAACCTTTACACCTGGCGTTTTAACGTGGCCCTCCGGTTTAGCTGCTGGAAGTAAGTGTATAGAGGAACACAAACCTGGGAAACGAGGAATGCAGTGTTTTCTCCACAAATGTGGTACTGCTACGAATTCTGAGAAGTAAAGTTACATGGTGGAAGGCACGTTTCAATTAGTAAAAGGGTGTCACCATGGTGCGTAACCTTCGTCTCGTTTCGAACTGTCAACGAAAGCTATTTGCTCTTCTCTTTCACTTTTATATTTACCTTCCCATTGGATATTCGTTCCATTCAACCGAATCTTTTCCATTTCTATCGTGCTACGTGTTCTACACGTGATTCAAATACAAAAACCATAGCCGCACGAAGTTCTGTATCAATATCCGTAATCGATACAGTATCGAATTAATCGAACCAAAATGATTATAATCAAATAATGAAATAATTTCTGAAACTACTTGTAAATTAAATGAAACACCTTGAAATAATATAATATGTATTCATTATATATACATATATACATATATAAACAAAAAGAGAATAAATATGTACATAATGTAATTACATAAATAGTTATAATTAAAATTGAGAAAATTTAAAATAAAATGCGCTGTAGGAAAGCAAATGAAAGAATCGAGATTCGGATAATCGAAGTTTTACTTACATATAAATCGTCTGAGACGTACTCTATAATTTTGTTCACTGTTGAAAGACGAATATTGAAAAATCACGTGCAACACGGACATCTAATCAAGTGTGACCCGTAGGAAATTTTAAATGACGGATGATCGGACGTCAGTCGTTAGAGGGTTAAAAACTGACGAGTACTGAAAATAAAACGTCATGAATAAGAAAAAGTGTTGAAAGGAATGTGAATAATTTATAAAAATAAATAGCGGTAAAGTAAACAGAAGAACGAGGTGAAGAAAATTTATTCTAGAATTAACCTCGAAATAAATAAGCTCCGATAATGATAATGAAATGAGCCGTTCGAAAGTGGCTTAGGTCCATTTTTCAAAGAAAGCAAGTTAATCTATATTCTTTAATAATTTTTTAATATTTTCTAAGTGGACTCAAGCCACTTTTTATGAAACTGATTTACAGTTTTCTTTGTTGAAAACACGACAATTTATGAACAGTGAAGTGATTTGCAATCTATTAGAGTAATTTGATCTTGGCACAGTAATTGCACCAGGTACTCTGACATTGCGGTTGTTTTTATTTCGCGAATAACTTTCCCCCGGCGGTAATCGCCACTAGCAAGGCTGAGCTATTATAATACAATAACCATAAATGTTCTTTTCTATTTTCCCAGCCACATTCTCCTGTGTATTTTCTATTCTTCCTCTTCGAGAAATTAAATTCCAACATTTCGAAAGTAATTTGACACGAATTTATGGTTATTGCATCTATGGAAAAAAATCTATGCGCACAATAAAATGTGGGAACAATAAGGGCACGTTTCTTTATTAACATAATTTTTTCAGTGTCAAATACGGAATATAAAATATAGAAATTTATTTTCTGTATTCTCAGAAATTTTCTCGACTATTTTATTGTTCGTTATATTGTTTTGTTGCATTGATATTCAATACCATATTTATTTGAAAAATTGTAAGGTAATTTAGGTTTGCATGTTAAGACAAAAAGTATTCAATATATTTTTAAAATATTTATAATTATTGCAGCGTTGTATTTGACTTTTTAAACTTTTTGCAATCCAAACCAATCCAAAACCCACTAATTAATACTTGGAAGTATCCGTACACGTGCATGGGAATATTCCTTTGCCGAAGTTTTCCAAAAACTGACAGGTATTTGAAAATTGTGTTTTTCACGAAAAGTTTTCAAATTAATTAATCGATAAGCTTGTGACTCAAACGAGTCGTATTCGACCAATCGACGTAGTTTACTTTTTGGGGTTTCCAGGTCACCTACATCACCATTTAAAATTATTGTGTCTAACGGTACACGAAACGTTCTCGATTGCCAGTGTAAAAGTGTATTGGAAATATGAATGGAGCCAATAATAAGCAACAATTCTTTTTTTTTTATTTTTACATAGAACATTTTGGTGCTAGGAAACACGTGAGCGGCGTAGGTTCGTTAACTGCGTAATTATCTTGCATTAATGAAGCGTTTTAACGTGCTCTCTAATCAAACTTGCTTGCCACATTATTTTTAATATTCTCATAAAAACTTTTATATTGAATTACGTAAACTTCAACGTTACATTTTACGTCTAAATTTATCTCGTTTGTTTCGCGTGTTTTGAGCCGCGGGGATGTTTCAGCGAAAGTCTGGTATTTTATGTAAGATAATATATAATTCAATAAAATTATAAACACACGCGGGTCTGGTGATTTCTTCATTCGATGTAGCGTTTTAATTATGCAAATTACAAAGAAATCTCCTAGCAACGAAAATACATACTAAAATGAAAGTGAAAATAACTCTAAAAACCGTGGTTTCCATAATGTAGAAAATTTTTATTGAAATTATCTTTTTTAATTTCTACGCTGTCGATAAAATGTGTATAATTAACTTTTAATTTATACGGAAGAAACGAATGTAACAATCGAAACTCACAATTGCGAACCATGCAATTTTTCAAAATTTCATCACTCACTTAAGGAACTTACTTTACTTTTTATTTTTTAGGGACCGAAGATTTTCATAAAATTTTCATAAAACTCTCATCAAATTTCGAACCATGCAATTTTTCAAAATTTCATCACTCACTTAAGGAACTCCTTTACTTTTTATTTATTTTTTAAGGACCAAAGATTTTCATAAAATTGTCATAAAACTTCCATAAAATTTCGAACCATGCAATTTTTCAAAATTTCATCACTCACTTAAGGAACTCCTTTACTTTTTATTTTTTAGGGACCGAAGATTTTATATAAATTAGTACCTTTTACATTCAATTGAAAACGTCGAAAACAAATTGCACAAGCTTATACACAAAATTCTAATTTTCACTTAAAAATGAAGTGCCACGTCAACGTGTTAAACATAATTACCGAATATTCTATTTATTTATTGCTGATGTTCAGAGCCCTCCTGTCTTTACATACCCATTCTAAATTGAATTTAAAGAATTCCTCTTTGATTTAACAATGTTTCATGAATCGTGCTCCGCGGAGTTTAAAGTCTTAGGAAAGATACCAACGAGCGAGCGAGCAATTTTATGGGATACATTACAGGAAAATTGAAAATAGTTTTCACTATTGACAGAGGCCCATGAACCGTGGAGAGAAGGTGAGAAACGCTCGAATGAAAAGGGGCAAACGAAATTATTCGGTTGTTCCTCGAAAATGCTCGTGCTATCGTAAAAGCACTGACACGATGTCCCCGTTGTAATATGCATATATATATATAGGGATGCTTCGGAAGAAAGCGCCTCAGTTCTTTGGAGAACGTCTTTAGGTGAGTATCGTCAATTTGGCATTACAAAATACTCGGGATGCCGTCGCGTTTATTATTTTTTTTATATTCTTCCATCGATACTTTGCCAATAAACGAAACTTGCATTCAACGGTTTAAACAATGTAATAGAAACATAAAGGGAAATATAATTTTAATAATATTGGATATTAAGCGAAACTAGTAAAACTGAATTTGAAAAGTTATAGGATAGAGTTTGGAACTTTCGTTTGTAAATTGTAATGCTAATAGTGAAGTTTGTTTTACACGGTTGTAATTAATTTTTAATTAGTAATATTTCATTTATTTTTGTTATTATAGAGAGAAACGTAGTGAAGGAAAATGATTCGATTCATTATCCTTGGGACGCTCGTTGCTGTATCGGTAGCACAATTTCAACCTACCGGAAGGATTTTGGAACCACCGATTCCTGCGCTTTGTGCACAAAGTAAGTACAATAGTTCTTTGTAAAAACGAATGTCTGTGTTGAAAACAACAGGAATTATTGCAAATGATTGTTTTCATCGGAGAAATTAGGAATTGAGATGTTGAACAACTATTTTTGAGAATCTGAAGACGTTAGTGAAACTGTCGATAAAATTTATGGTAGATCCGAAAGTTACATTACGAGTTAAATTAAATTTTATCTACTTCATTTTTGGGAAACTTTAACGCGTGTGATTATGAACGAAATTGTATGTACGCTATAGCGTGAATTTCAATGGATATCATGCGAATATGTCTGGGCTTTGATAAATACATGTGAAAAAAGGAAAAATAACAAAAATATAAAAAAACTATAATAATAATTTGTTTTAAAATTGAAACATATAAGTAATTCTACGAGAAGAACAAATAAAGCGTGTAAAATAAAATAATTTTTAATATCTTGATTTTTCACATTGAGAAAATTAATTTTATATATAAAAAGTAAGAAAATAATTTTCATTCATTAAAAGATTTCACCTACACAGTGAATGAAAGTGTGGTATTGCTTAATTAATTATATAAAAAAAGGATTTTCTGTTTTACCTCATAACATTTTTATTTACTATTTTATTCGTGTAAGTTTAAAGGAACAAGGAAATATTATTGCTGTTCCCTGGTTTATTAGAGACTTTATTATAATGTAACAGGAATATTGCATCTATTATCTAAAGTTATAATTAACGAAGTGTAACAGTAATTTATTAGTCGACTAATAGATTACTACACCAATATACACTTTCGTTTTATTAGTATTAGTATTATTAAATTCGCGTTTATTATTAAGTATTATTATCCGTGAGAGTGTGTTCCGACAGACAACGTGACGCGAAAGAAAAATTTTGCTGATATTCAAAATAGTCTCGGTGAAAACGACTTGTACCGCATACAGCTAGGTGGGACACCCTGAATATGCCATACAAACCGTGACAAACTTTCTTCCTCTTTCTCTGGGAAAGTAGTTTGTGTAATTAACATACATCATACGATGTCAATCCGTAAGCCGTGACTGTACTATCTAAAATTACAAGCGACATTGAATTTGTAACTTTCACCTTGGAAAACAAAATTTTTGTCGCGATAGAAAGTAAATAAAGATACCGGAAGTTCCTTCGGTATTTAATCAGTTTAGGGAAAGTAAGGTATTAACCACAGAATCGTAGATTACTGGTTCTGTCACAAACACGATTAAATGACTTACAGAGATGAAGAACTACAAATACTTGAGTAAACACTATAATTTACAAATATCCAGTTTGAACTTGAAATAAAAGTAGATGTTAGATAGTATTAAAAAGGATTATCTGTTTAAATATAAAAATTGGTAATGATTTATATATAAATCCTGCAATCAGTGTATCTATTTTATTTCTGGTTTTGTTATTTGATTATACAAAATTATAAATGAATAAAACCAAAGGAATGGTTTTTATGGACATAAACAGAGTTGATGAATATTCATTAATAAATTGCTAAACTATTGTAAAACAGTTGATTATTTAATAATAATGTCTCAATGGATATTTAGTTTAGTTTAGTTCATTTAATTATGAAAATTAAATACTAAACAAGAAAATGTAGATCTTTTTTCAATGATTTTGTAATATCTGTTATGTATAATTTAAGCTTAAATATTTACAAGTGTATTATGTTTTAGGGATTATTCATGAACGTTTTAATGGCAAGGGTTATTACTATTCATGGGCCGATCAGAGAACAAATGGCCAAGAACTAGACTGGTTAGCGGGAAGAAACTTTTGTAGACAAAGGTGTATGGATCTTGTATCTCTGGAAACTTCTGCTGAAAATGAGTTCATCAAAAGTCGTATTGTTCAAAGTACTAAAACATTTCATATTTCTTATGTTTCATTGATACTGTACATGATAAAGTAATGATAATTGCTGTCTGTAGATAAGGTAAAATACATTTGGACATCAGGTCGTCTTTGTGACTTCAAAGGCTGTGATAGGCCTGATCTTCAGCCTCTTCACATTAATGGGTGGTTCTGGACTGCTGAATTGCAAAAACTAGCACCAACTACTGATAGATCTCAGAATGATTGGTCTGAAAGCGGCGGGTAAAATTAATATAATATATTTTATAGCAATTTAATATTCAACAGGAGGTTAAAAAATCTCTAACTCTGTTTTAAATCAAGGCTTAGAAATAATTATAATCTTTTCAGTCTTGGAAAACCTCAACCTGACAATCGTGAACCTATTCAACAAGGTGGGGCACCAGAAAATTGCTTAGCTGTGCTCAACCAATTTTACAATGATGGTGTTAACTGGCACGATGTTGCTTGCCATCATAAAAAACCATGGGTCTGTGAAGAAAATGATTCTTTGTTAAAATACGTTCATTTCACCAATCCAAACATTCGCCTTTAATGACGATTCTCCGTGCAAATTGAATAACTAATACCATTTAGTAAACAATTGCCAAATTTTACAAAGATTTTTCAAAATTATACTATTGAAAGTGATGATATATTATTTTGTACAGAATATAGGTTGGAAAGTTTCTACTTCAGTAAGTATTAAGGAAGATACAGAAGTATTTCTTAGCTATTACATTTTAGAAACTTTTAAAAACTATATACATTCACGTATGTTCTCTTTTTCTTAAATAGATATTTTCTTTCGGCCTTTCCAAAACTTCGCAAAAATTTTTTTACAAATAACGATAGAAATAATTTATTGGATTTTTCAATATATTTTGTCCTATGGATAATTTCTCTTTGCACATACCTCCTTCTCCTCTAATATTTTGCCTAAGGAATCAATTGCCATTATATTACATCACTGTAAAATATTACATATTTTATTTATATTGGTTGTAAGACTTTTAGATGTTACGATATTTATATCATTACAATCTTGTAAAAACATTTATTGTAAATGATATTAAATAAACGATATTTATATATACATATATGTATGTTAGTTACGTATATAAATGTTATTCATCTCATATATAAATTGTTAATACAATATTATTTATTATGTTTCTGTAATTACAAAGGATAAATAATGTGTAAAACATACAATATATATTATAAAGGTATATATACACTTTTACTTCTTGTTATATAAAAATGATCATTATTGTATCATTACACAATCAAAAATGTGTACCTGGTAAAATCTATGGTTAAAAACTATTTTTTACCTTCTACCATTATAATGTGATAACCAAATTTTGTTTTAACTGGTGGATCTGTATAAATTGGAGAACCAAGGGAAGATACAGGTAATGCAAATGCAGCATCTTGGAACGGACCAACCATTGAACCTCGTGTCATCCAACCAAGATCACCCTAAAATAATTATTAAATCTATAATATATAAGTTCTCATAAAACATAAAAGTTTATTTCAGAATAAAAATACATTTAAATGTTAAATTATCCTTTTTAAATCAGTCACACATTCAATATATTAACACTCATATAAGAATCATAAATGAAATAACAAAGTATAATGAAGACAAAGTATGTCTATGTATTATTTAAAGAAAAACCTATTTTATCTTTAACATATTTACCCCAGACCGTGCTTTGTCCTCACTATATGCAGCAGCAACTTCATTAAATTTCTGTCCAGCTTTTAATTTCTCCAAGGCTTCCAAAATTTTTGATTGTTTTTCACATAATATATGTCTCACCTTTGTTATGAAACAAACATATAAGAATGAAAAAATAAAAAAGCATTATCCTTGAGTGCATAAGGTAATAATAGCATAAAGATAATAAAAATTATATGTTTTTTACATACTTTTACTGCAGTTCCTCCTTTCTTTTCTTCTTTCCCACTACTGCTTTCTGCTCCTTTAGATTTATTTCCCTTAGAAGCATTTTGATTTTTCTTTGGAGGCATAATTGACTACTTTGATTAATGCTACAATACTAAACGAATGTGATATATTTCTTTATAAATTAATACACTGAAGTTGAAAAGGAAATTTTATAGAATTAAAACTATTGACTAATATAGGTTATCTATAAATTTATTAATTTTCTTCTGAAATTATTTCATACATTCTTGTTACATACTATTCATTATTATTATAACATTTTATCCAAACAAATTCAACAATGAAAGACATTATATCTCAAAAATAAAGTAGAAAATTTCTTTACCCTTTTTAATTTTATTTTCAATATGTAACTACGTAAGTTTCATACTTTGAGAACCGGTTCGCGATGTTTAAATATCAATAATCGTAACTTTTGTCACATACCACTGATTTAAGAATTTTATCTCAGACAAGGTTAGGCACAAAATTTTGTCACGCGCTCGGGGGTCCCAGAACCCTTTTACCATTTTCATGTCACGCCCTGTCACATCGACTTAGACTGATATTATATGGCAGCGCTATAAGTGAAAGGAATTAGAATTAAAAATATTTAAATAACGACTTAAGATAAGTAGAGTCGTTGAAGCTTAAGAATTTTTGTATAGAACTTCGGTATCATTTCGGTACCATTTTGGTGTCGCGCTCAGGGATACCAATAATACTTAGGCTTGTCAGTAAGAATTAATTAGCTGTTTACTACTTGATCAACTTCGATCATTTTGCTTGATGTAATTTTTTTATTGACCGTTTAGACGTAGAGGGCAGAGCAAAACTTTTGACACAGTCGGTAAGGCCAAACATATGACACCATGTGTCATAAGCTTGCAATGACTATGCTATAGCTCGTCTGCGCCATAAACAAAAATTCCCATAAGTTGCAACGTCTGTAAGTAAATACATATCTTGAGTCGGTGGTTTTACTTAAGATGTTGATCTTTCTTCTAAGAGGTGGCGGTAGTAAGTGTGCTTGGACGATTGTTCCCTCTGTTGTCGTTATTTGAAATCATCGGCTAGCATTCTATCTGTGTCTAGCACATGTATTAGGTTTTCAGTGTTGACCGTTTTTGGGTATATCATTGAAACTTGTGTGTTCAAAGAATATTTTAAGTAAAATAGTTTAATCGTTGTAAATATATAAACATAAAGTATAATAATGTCGGAAATATCTATGAGTGAATCGCCTTTCACACGGAAAGTCGATTTAACAACATTAAATCTTCCACAACTTCAGTATGTAAAACAGCAATTGGATAAAGATCTTGAATTCTTTAAGACATCAGTGCAGACCTTACGAATGGCCCAAAGTAAATTTGAGGATTCCGGTTCTTGCCTTCATAAGCTCGATTCCATTAAGAAAGGTAAGATCTTGTTGCTTTTAATATATTTAATTAATGATTTAATAATTTTTTAAGTTACCGTATATTAAGGTTAGGATTTTAGATATGGGTTACCGAATGTAATTTGTTTCAATGACTTTTCTACAGATAATGAAATTTTCGTACCATTGACTGCATCAGTATATGTTGCTGGAAAATTAGCGGACGCAGACCATGTATTAGTTGACATAGGAACTGGTTATGTTACTCAAAAAAGTGTTCCTGATGCAAAAAATTATTTTGACAGAAGGGTCAGTTATGTTTCAAAGCGAATAGAGGAAATACAACGACGAGGTCTTGATAAACTATTGATCAGAGATGCAGCGATGGATCTTATAGAAATGAAACTCCAAAGTCAAGGACAGAAACAAGGTCCAGGCCGTGAATAATATATTGACTTTTCTGAGTAAAGGATTGAAAGCGTTAATCGTTTGATATTTATGTTAGCTCATGTCTGGGTTATGATTAAATTGTATCACTTTGCATTTTATTGTTAAACTATAATAATTAAGCATCATATGGCAAAAGTACATTTCCATAATGTATTAAAATATTTGAAATAGATAGCATGTTTTGCAATATTGTCTCTTTTAACCATTATAAAAATGTGTCACTTATCTGAAGAATAATATGATAATTAATTTTGTACAGCAAAATAAATCTTAATAAATTACAGTGGAATTCTATTTTATTCTATACTGTTATACATTATACAAGTATTTTAGAACTTCTGCTACTTTCTGACTATGTATTAATCTAATAATTAGATTTCCAAAATAATTTTAGCAAAGCATCAGTTCTGATGTTTAGTAAAGTAGTGATATATTTTAATTTTAGACATTTTTATGCATAATAGGACCATCATTTGTATATAAATTTAATCTAAACTACACAATCATTCTTCTACTACTCGCAATTGTTAAAAGTTTAGCACTATGGTTTTGATCTGTTGGTTTATTCATCTATAGTTTATCGATCGTGTTATTGTTAAATATTTTTCATATTCCATTAAATAACATTCTATTTTATACGATCTGCACAACCAAGGACATTAAGAAATCAAGCCAAATTTTGATAGAATAATTGATAATTTCATACGTTTATGCGTTCTATAATTCTAGAAGAAGATAATATTATATTATGATATAATAGGAGTGGAAGGGTCGCAGGTTTCAGTAAGTAAACACACAGGAGTAACGAAGGTGAATTATTTATTCTTTTACTCAAAGTTTCATTCCCAAATAATAACAGCTGTTTTACCTAGAAATGTTATAAGATATACATTCCGGTAGCTATAATGTTACAGAAGAGGTATCAAAATCATTCTCGGAGGATAGAAAACACGGTTTAATATCGTTGAAATAATCTCCCGAATATCTGCCGCGACATATTCCCAATCTAATATGTAATATTATGGCATATTATTCAGATTATAAATTCATCTCGCTGCAACGAGACTGCGTGGGTCGCAATTACACGTGGATAATTCGCTAAATTTTTATCCTATTTACACGAATAACATATGGTGGATATTTATGTTAACGAAAGATGTTCCTGCTTCCTTCCATCGTCGCACTTCATAATTTCAAAATTTTACAAACAATTTTCCCATCTTCGGTGTACAGTCACATCCACAAAACTCGGAATTCGCTGTTCATTGGTGTTATCTCAGATTGCACAGTAACAACGTGACTGCAATGTTAAAGTAGGACCAACCAGCAATATGTTTCGTTGCGCTACCTGTAAATGAAAATGGAATGAAAGTTAGTGTAAATTACACATGACAAAAGTCACAGCAACAATAGTATCATGTTTCGAAATGATAAAACTGGTGTCGAGATTGAAATTAACAGGTCCTTCGAAGTTCACGATAATTATCATCATACACAATAAAAGTAATAATCAAATAATGTGTCATTCAATTATTTCCTTCGATTTTATTCAAAATAACTTCTATTTATTTAACTACATTTAACGATACTAATTCTGTTTAACAAAAGTTTCGTGTTTCAGTTTGAATAATTTCAACTTAGAAATATTCGATAAATCGACAGAGAAATGTAAATTTAATATGCTAAGTTCCAATTATCGTAACTATAGTTTATTCGCTGAATATTCATTACTGACGTTTCAATTCGTAGGTTCAATACGATTTAACGGTACGTACCAATGTGGGATGATTCTCGAGTTCCTAAAACAGATGCCAAACGTGGGCGTTCCTCCATTAAGTGAACGTAAGCTTCCTTTTTATACAAATGAAAGACATTGGCGTGACAAATAACGTGTAATCTGCCGTTACCAAAACTATCTGGTATAATTTCGAATTCAAGCCCTGCGATAGTCATTAGCTGCTGATTGTCACCGATTTTGTCCGTCAGATTCATAGTAAAACTGGCGTTCACCTGTAACAGGAAATCTTCTCGTTAAGTGTACATTTGTAAAAATCAACCGATTAAACGAAATTAGTATGATAATAATATAGTATGTTACATTATTTTCATAATCAAACAGAATGCTTTTTGTCTCTTTAACCCCTTGAACTCTGTAGGCTCCGATATTGCACCAGGTATAATAAATATTTTGAATCTTAAAGAAACTACCCTAAAATTATTCGATTTTCCACTCATCCAAATTTTCTCATTGTCGCTAGGAATACTATAAGAATTTCTAGAATTTCTCATTTTCGCTAGGAATACTATAAAAATTTCTAAAATTTCTCATTTTCGCTAGGAATACTATAAATATTTCTAGAATTTTTCATTTTCGCTAGGAATACTATAAAAATTAGTTGCTATTGCTGATAGATTGCAAAACAACCTGAAATTCTAAGGGTTAACATTGAAGACAACATGTACAGTATTCCCTTTATAATTTCGCGAAGGTCAGGAGGTTTGGGGAGACGCTCAGGAGTAGTGGCAGTCATTCAATCTTTAATCTTCAACTACATATCATCGTTACAATGGAGCTGCGAATCATGCATCGAGAGGATTGTCATCGTATTTCACACAGGAATTGTCGCGATAACTCTCAACACCGTTGAAATATTCGAATGTATTCATTTCGTTTTAATTATTTCAAACGTCAACGGTACGATAGCAGCTGATCGTACCGGTTATTCTGTTTTCGAGCAACAGCGACGGGATTCATTTATGGAAAATGAGTGGTCGCACTGTTTCTTCTGCAGTTCCGTTAGCGTAGTTATCGCACAGTATGGCAAGCGGAATAGTAAGCAGCGCTTACCGCTTCCTCTTATTCCCCGTTCACGCGGCAACGCTCCGCTCCGAAGCCATAAATATAATTTGCGTTATAATCGTTCGCAATCACAATATTTATCGGGTTTTTATAGTGCCCGTAAACCGTGTTAGATTGTTAAATTACAGTAAACGCGAAGTTCCGGATTAAATAAGCTCGGTCTAAAGCGGAGAAGCACGATACGGCTGGAAATAGTTTTCAGCGTGTTTTAATTGTTCGCTCCAATTATCTTCCGCAATTTGTTCCTCAAGCTTTTGTCAGTTGAGGTGTCTTCAACGTTGATCATGGGAAATGTATATTTACAGTTGAAAACAATTTCCACGTGAATTTCATTGTTTATAATAGGGAAGCTAACATTTTTCATCTAAAGGGACGCTGTTGCATTACAATGTTTTAATTGTTCGCTCCAATTATCTTCCGCAATTTGTTCCTCAAGCTTTTGTCAGTTGAGGTGTCTTCAACGTTGATCATGGGAAATGTATATTTACAGTTGAAAATAATTTCCACGTGAATTTCATTGTTTATAATAGGGAAGCTAACATTTTCCATCTAAAGGGACGCTGTTGCATTACAATGCCGGCGAACGTGTAAAATATTGATCGTTATAATAACGACAGCTAATCGATACTATCAAGCCCACATTCTCCGAAAGTTTATGCATCCATCAACCTACCTTCACTCCATTGACAGTCCACGACACATTCGCCGGTGGGTTTCCCGAAGGAACAGTACAGTTCCCGCGAACTGTGTCGCCAACAGCGTAACGTTGCTTCTCGACTTTAACTTCTGGCTCGCCGTTTGGAAGACCTAAAATTCATCGAACTCTTTAATAGGGCAATAAATGGAGGCGCGCAAGAAATTCCCTTTTCGTCTCATTGTTAGTCAATCGCTACGTTCTTCGATCGTGCCTTCGTTACGTTTTTCGCTGATGATGGACACAGCGGGGGAAAAAATTAACCCTTTGCACTCGGGAGGTGACTCTCAGTCACCAATTCATTTCATACAGTAAAACTATAAAATTTCATACTTAATATTAAACTTCGTACAATGCATCAATTTGAGAAATATTCAAACAAAATAGATTTGTCCCTCGATGTAAGTGTGATTTCTCGTCGAATGACTAAAACGTTAAAATGTTTCTAATGAAAAACTTCCGAGTGCAAAGGGTTAATGCTAAATCTGGATTTTGCAATGCTGATCGATTTTTATGTGCTCGATATTAAACGAGAGCGATCTCTTGTTACTTTACACGAATTAAATTATATTTCTCCGCATAGATACAACTGAAAGCTAGGTTTAAACAGTACATTGTTTTCGCTGTGCAAATTGATAATCTACGCGAATATTAGACTTTAAGGATGAAAAGGACACAAATGTGGTCGGAGCATTGAACTATTTCCGAATTTTTATTGTTCAACCGGCTATTATAATATGTAGCCTAAAGAAAAAGTCGTACAGTGGCCACTTATATGTGTGGAGGCCCGTCGACGGCGCATCCCTCATAAAATTTTCATGCTGACCTCTATTTCTGGCAATATGCGCGCACCCTAAATTACGTAACTAGGGGTATGAGATTTTTTCGGACTATTCCTGAATTTTGTATACGATTCTACGCGAAAGAGTAAATCGGGGATGCGGAACGAGACTCGTTTCGCTCGACAGTACGTTTTCGAAACGAAGATTTTTCATGTTTTTAACAATTCACGTTCTTAGAATGTTTTCTGCGTTACTCGGTGTACCAATAATTCTAAATTCACTGGCAAATGTTGAATAGTACTGACTCTGTTTATATCAGTACCTTTAACCCCTTGGCGTACAATGACGAGTGAGACTCGTGATGAAGATTTTTACACCAATTTAACCCTCTGTGTTAATTAATAAAATATAAAATCTAAATATCTACACATGAATACGAATTAACAATGTATTCGATACTTTCAATAATTTCATCAAACGAATATATTTTGTCGCTTTCAAGTTACAATCACGTTAAACTTTCACACCTGAACGTATGAAAGTTTAAATTAACTGATTACTTAATTTTATTCTCCACTTTGAGTGCAGAATGAAATAAATCAACAAGATGCCAATATACTGATATGAGACTTCAAAAAACAATTATTTTGCTATTATCAATTTATTATCTACAAATGAAATTTCCGCTTCAAGTAGAATGGAAAATTTTGCTGCATTTCTTCCGAATAGTTGATAGCAAAATGTTACAGGAGTTTAGTAGCGGAAGTAAATAGTACGCCTAGGGGTTAACATTTTTATGAAACAATTGTATTATTTCCAGAATATCTTGATGTCATATTTCACGTTGCTCGTTGCCTCCAGCAATTTTCCTTAATGGTTCCGAACCACGTATTTTAATCTAAACCGTATGTCTCGATTCTTATTCAGATCACGAAATGGAACACTCGGTCACTATGAACGAGACTATCGCGCGATGAACAAGATAAAACGCGGCATGATACATAAATCAAATCAAATCAAATCAAATCAAACTAAATTACTCTATTTCACCAGTTAACTGTGAAATTTATTTGGAAAAACCTCTGATTCTGCGCAGTGAAATCGAAAAATGGAGCGTGTGCTCGTCGAACGCAGGACGAATGCAGAGTATATTTTAATGAAAGATCAAAGCGAAACAAAGAATTACATGTTTATGTGGAAAAATGAAGAATTCGCTGAAAGAATTAGTATGTCAAGCTTCACGATGACGTGTATACTCGTCAAACACAGTTAACTGGTTAATTAATGTATTCCCTCTAACGTGTATTCTGACGTTGTAGCTTCGAACCTCTGATTTCCAACATCTAAACGAACGAACATCAATTTTTCTAGGGACAATAGTTCATATGCAACTTCGCTAATTACCACAGTATCGAAAAAATATAAAATTTAATTCGGATTGATTACCTATTTGAAATATATTACATAACAATATGATATCCGAGTTTTTCTATGTATAGTGATATAAGTTGACCTCAGTGAAAATTGCCATTACAATTCAGTTTTCTGAAAATTAACCGGTACGCAATATAAATATTTATCATGTGTGGTTGTTTAAAACGGCACGTTAGACGAAATCTAACGGCGCAACGGACCACGTAACAACGGGGAGGGCTAGGGCAACCTCTACCTGTTTTAACAATTTTTTCTATATTTATTTGTAGCATTACAATTGTACCATTTGAAGGTAACGTTTCAATGACTCCCAAATATTCTGGAATAAATAAATAGAGCGAATTAAGCTGTAATTGAATGAACCAACGTCGACGTGAACCTCAAAGTGAGAAACCAAGGGCACCTCGGACCGCAAAAGGTTAAAGGGCGACAGATAGAAATATTTATCATCTGCGGTTGCTTAAAACGGCACGTTAGACGAAATCTAATGGCGCAACGGATCACGTAACAACGGGGAGGGTTGTGCAGGAGGGCGAGTGGGGGAGGCGTGACCAGCGTGGGGTTAAAGGTAAGCGACCATAGCATGGTATCCGGAACCGCCAGGTACGGAAGGCAATAAAACCACAGTGCGCGGCACCCGGAAAACGCTGATTAGGCGATGCCCATCGAAAGAGTAGAAAAAGTGCCCTGCCGTTGAAAAAACCTCGTTGACTTCGGCTAGCCGAGCTATCGAGCCTCGTTTCGGAACTCGTGAAACGTACGGGGACTTTCTTCGCTGACTCGAAACGTGCAACGTTCGGGCAGCTTCGCACCGTACGCATTCTAAGGAAAGTCGATCGGATTTTGTCTGATGGTTAACGATCGAGAAATCCTCGTTACTTTCGAACGAAAAAAAGAAACGCATTGCGAAAATAGAGAAACGTTCGGTATTGCGTCCGTGAAGTTGACATTTAATCGTTCGCACTCGAGAGGTGACTCTTGCAATTAGTCACCGGTTGATTTGACGTGGTGAAATTGACCCTTTGCACTCGGTGGTTTCTCAGTGGAAATATTAAACATTTTTCGAGACAAAGACGATATTTGTAGTCAACTCGAAGGGACGTTAGAAGTATATCGAAAACAAAGCTGTTTATTGTAATATTTTACGTGTCGAGACATTACACAAAGTTCAATATTAGATATCAGATTTTATGATTTTACTACGTCGAATCAAGTGGTGATCGAGAGTCACCACCCGAGTGCAAAGGTTAAACGGAGTATCTATGATATTAACACTAGAACTACCGAGCATTTGATACGATTGAAATGTAATCGCTATGAATATTGTAGTAATAGGTTATTTTCGGTGTCTTCAGACATTCACTATAGTATTCAAATGAAACTATTTATTTTCAAAACAAAAAAATCGAAACCAGTCATCTTGATTGATACGGTAGTCTAGTGTTAAGCATCGTGTAACGTGTCGATGTGTGAGATATTGAAATAAAATATCCTCGTTCCTTAATTTACGTATGTCTTCTCGTTGGTTAACTTCAAAGTATGTTGAGTGCAAAGGTTAATTGAAAGTGTGCGACAGTGTCTTTCAGAGTTACGCGGAGTGCTCCTAGTATTATTCTTCGTCGCAAAGTACGCGTTAATTATATTTAAACAGAAGAGAGAACGGTCGAAACGTCTGCTGGGAGAAATGTGATCGAATTCTGACATTGAGCAGTTAAGAGGAAACCGTGACGAGTAATAGATCTTTCTATTGTTCCACGGAATAATCGGTCTTTTGAGAAACAACGCGGAACACGTTTCTTCGCTGATGGAAGGAAGAAATGATTAAACGATGAAAGATCGTTCCGGCGGTTTCCTTGGGAAAATATTTTTCGAGAGTGCGACTGCCACTTTTTCAATTAGCGAAGTTTCATTCGAAGACAAAATAGATTTAATTGCTTCCAGTTCATTTTGGACCTTTGTCGGAATTCGGTGCTGTTCTCGGCATCGGTCAATACGATCATTAGCCGAAGTTCAACAGTTCTACGAGAAATTCGAACTACCAATTCTACCACCTGTACAGGAGAGTTCGTAAATGGTCACCCGACCGAGCGCCGACCGCACCCAGTAAAGTTTAACCTCTAATTTAAGTATGTTTTATTTGAAAACCAATAGCATATTACGCCCGAGAGTATATCTACATAAACATGCAGGCCTGTAATTTTTTCAGAGGTTGAATTTCACATGATCAAAGAGACCTTCTCGAAGCACCATAATTCGCACGTTAAAACACTGCTTTACCTCGTCGTTATTTAAAATTAATACTACATTAATATTGTAATGCAATACGCCTGATATTATAATATCGCATTAATAAATGAATATTTGATAAGCGAACTTTTTCTTTGCTTGTCGTCGGTTTTTCTGAAATAAAATTCAGACGATTTCACAGACGCTGCTATGAACTGCGAACTACCGTATAACTCGTGATTATTGAAAAATAATCATTCGAAATAGAATTCGGTTATTGAAAAATAATAATCGAAGCGAAGATTCTCAAGGAAGTAATACAAGGAATAATTTCGAAGAAAATGATCAAGCCTCGCAGTGATTTTAGTTTTACTTGCTATTTAATTTAACTCGTTCCACGTATAAAATAACGAAAACCAATGTTCCCATTGTTTCAACACTAGAACTACGTACCAGTCGAAATGACTGATTTCGATTTGTTTGTTCAGCAATTATCGATACCTTCGAAGCACTGAACATTCGAAATGATTTTGAAAATAGTTTCATTTCAGTGCTATAACGAATACCTGAAAAAACTAAAAACAATCTATGTCACAATTTTTACGGGAAGTACACACATCAGTCGCAGTAAGCTCGGTGGTTCTAGCATTAAAATAAAACAAATATCTTCCACTGCATCGACTATTTAATTCGAAATTTCCTCCCGTTCCGTACAACGCGGAGCGTATTCCCCGCGTAACAGGAGGTCCGGGAGTAATCTATTACAGCCGACATTTTTCTGCCGCCTCGGTTGCACGGTTCCGAAGGCTGGAAGCCTCGGAACTCGGAAGGATCCTTAAAGTGTCCGTAAATGGCGCATTTGCCCTATTGTTGTATAATCGTAGACAGAAGGTGTTCCGCGAGGTGCTCCGTATACACGACGCGTCATGTATATCGCTCGCGATCATTATACCGTCCACGGAAGGCAGTCAATTTCCCTTTAGCGGCAGTGGCGCTGTCAAAGAATTGTCTGGCCTCGCCGGAATGACTTCCGCCATGCGGCCGAGAGGAGTCTGTCCCCATCGCCGATGCAGCTTTCCAAGGACACAGCCGCGGCTGCTCGCAGGCGATTATCATTTTGAACGTGTCCCACGTAATATTGTGGATGCGGGCGATCATCCCGGGTCCGGTGAGAACGGAGAAAAGGAAGAAAATGGAGGGGCGGGGAGGAGGAGACGCGTCCGAGGTGTACAAGGTAAGAGATCCGAAAGGCTCGATTCACTATCGAGCTTTTACGAGCGATCCGTGATCGGAAAGGAGAGGCAATCGCCTCGTTCCTTCAAAGAGGAATCACTGCCGCGGCCGTGGCGTCGTTAAGTTGACGCTGAACGAGAGCGCGGGATGGTGGGAACAAAACTTGCCCCCTATTTCCAGCCTCCGGCTCCCCGTGTTACCTGCCTTTTCTTTTGTTACGTCACCCCGTCCCGGTCCTTTCAGCCGATCGCCGATCACAGCGAGCCGACGCGCCGTCACAGGGACTGTCGATGGGAATAATTACCGGGCGCCGGTAATTTCGAAGAAAATATTCGAGCTCCGCCCTTCGGCCGACAGTTTCGAAAATTCAATTTGCGTTCCAACAGGCGGGATTTCAAAGGTCTCGCGACTCTGCGTAATCGGCACGCGTTCGCCGATTAGCTCTGAAAACCTTTGGAAAAAGGGTTCGAAGAGGAAATCCATGCTCGATGGACATTGGATGGGAATAATAGTATGCTTAGAATAAATTGCCCTTCATCGTGGTATCGAAGAATAAGGTCCTCGTCGAGAGATTCGGAGAACGGTTGCAAGTTCGGAGCGGCGGGGGCAGACGTGGAAGTTGCAATCGGTCAAGATTGTGTTCCGAATTTGTCAGGAATAGGTGTGCACGTGCGCTTCTTAGTTCCCAACTAATTCAACGTCCACATTGAGAGCTAACAGTGCGTGCTAATGGATCAGCCCGGCGAGGGAGCCGGGTGCAGTGATTCTGAAAGGGGCCAGGGCTATATTTCACCGGAACGAGGCTGGTAATTCGCAGTAAGTCGGTTAAGAGAGTCGTGAAACACGGATGATGAAATGATAAAATGAAAGATGCGAGTTTGGGCGTTTAATGAGAGTAAGTGACGGGGATCCTACTCCCGCGACGGACGTTTTGTTTCTTGCTGCGAGCGGCATTGTCGGGCTGAATGAAGCCGCCCGGTTACATTCAACGATATGTTTTCCGTTCCACTTGTTCCACCGGCGACGCACCAAGGGACGAAAGTGGAGAAAAATCTCTCTCTCTCTCTCTCCCGGCCGGAGCGGCTTCAACAATTACACGCTCCGCGCCGGTAATAAGGAAGCGCCCGGAATATTTATTTATACGTATGACGTCGACGCCGGGCCGGGTAAAAAAGAATGCTGAATTAACAGGATACGCCGGACGACCGGCCTATACATGGTAACCCTTAGGAAGTGATAATCTGCCCGTGTAATTTGCATTTCAAGGAAAAACCGCGGTTTTACAGGAAAATAAACCAGTTCTTGCGCCTGATTTTATCTAAATTCTCGATGTTAATGCGATATCACTGGTCGGCTTCTTGCCAGAATCGAAAACGCGGAGTGCGCTTCTTATACGCGAAATATCTGATTAATTTCATTT